GAGCGTTACCTGGATTGTAGAAAATACCTGTAAATAACTTTCCTGGCTAGTTCCACATCAGATGAAGTCTGACATAAATGCAGCAGATTTTTTAATTCATTTTTGAGAATTATTCCATTTTTCTTTAATTTTTCTTTAATACTTCTAAAATATGGATCTGAAAATAAAATATATTACAGGAGAAGTCTATAGAAAATTCCATTACAGGTGTTGCATACTTGGTACCTGAAAAATTGGAGACTCAATGAATCAGAAAGCTTGTTTTTTCACCAAGAAAAATGCATAAAGCTTCTCACAGACAAGCATATCAACACGTCTCCATGAAGTCATGTCAAACTTGGAAAATCAAGAAGATGCTTATTGTGAACTTAATTCCATTGTGTATGTTATGGAATATACCAGGTAATGCAAAAGTTTTAATGAGGAAGAAAGTTTTGTGGCATTTTATGCCTTATGTTCTTTTTTAAAGAGCAAGCAAACAAACAAAACCAATTCCACACATCATTCAAACAACCATAAGACCTACTCAACACTGTTCATACAGAAGATTTAAATTTCTTCACAGCTGATGAAAACACAAAGACTCTCCTATATAATCTGTGCTTTTACATACACAGCCATAAACTTAAGAGCTTCTTCCCTTATCCTGCCCCCAAAAAAGATGGTTCTTTGTCCCACCCATTTTCCTATGACAAAGCAAGCACAAAGATGAGCGCTCCAGCTGGTAATCTCAATCCTCTGACCAACATACACAAGATTAAAATCACATGTACCACCTGACTGCCCCATTCCTCTCATCGTGTTGACCATGTCTTGAGGAGGGAAGCAATCTTTTTTGTAGCCACTGCTGGGCCACTGCTGTTTCCAAGTTGTGATCTACATAAGAGGTGAAAAGTAGCACCACAGAGAACAACATATTCAGTTACCGGATGCATATCTGTTGTTACATGCAATTGCAAGTCCTTACTTGAGAGAGAAATAGAGAGCTTAGTCCTGAAAGTCAGAAGAATGTATACATACAAGTAGGCATACCTAACGGTTGTGACGTGTTTAAAACTGCACAGAAATTAAAAAAATACCTGGGATCTGAATGGTGTTTACACCATTTTAGGTAATTGTATAACTGCTGTAGTTAATAGTATAAATATTCTAGTTAATGGGTGGATTATAACTACAATAAATAATAGCTATAATATATTCTGTGAAACAGTTTTTAGTGCTTTTTCCATTTCTAAAAGAAGTTTTTATTAGCCCTAATTATTTCATCTTTCACGTATTACATTAAACACTGAGTACAGAAACTATTCAGACATACACACAAATAGGTGTTTAGCACAATGTTTTCATTAGTTTTCAGATGCTACTATTTGTATGAAACTAAAAAGTCAACTGTGACCTGTAAAGCCAATATTTGGCTTCTACAAACCTGCTTTAGCAAAAAATTCAATGTATCTCAAGTATGGGATGAATAAACAACAACATAAATATGTCATCATTACAGCAAAATATAATAACAATATGATTCGCAACTGCACAATTTAAATTTTACTAAATATAGAAAAAACTGCCAGGTTGACTTCACTTTCCTCTCTGTCCCAAAAGACTGATTTATATAAAACTAGATTTATTTGTCTCTTCCTTGTCTTAAAATTAACTATAACCTTTGGAACACTAGAACACCCACACATGATAAAATAGGAGTTTTGCCTAACCTTTCTTAAATAAGGGCAGCTCTATGTTTATGTTTAAAATGTGTACAAATTCCTTTCTTTAAGAAATATAAACAGCATGACAAAATCCCTGCCAGAAAAAGTCCACCGATTCTGCTCCTATATTTGTTTGGAAAACCTGAATTTGTTTTTCCTATTCTGTGTAGCATATGTCATCTGAAGTGGGTGTACAACTGAGAACCTACACTAGAAATGAAAAAAAAACCTAAAAGAATATTCTAACTAAATTTCCAGACCAGACTAAAAGAGAATTACTGGTGAAGGCCTTTCCTGGGCAGTTAGGTAACTATTTGGCTTTGTGTTAACCTTCTCTGTTGATGAGGTATTTGAAGCAGTATTTGTAGACTGATTAGATTACCTGAAAAAGTTAGAAAAGGGAGGACGCAAACATTCAGGTCTTATGCAAACACCTTGCATACGTGAAAGCTTCTCCACAGATATTCTCAGCACAGCATACTAATACTGTTACATTCTACAAAGCCTCAGATCTTCCAATAATGGTAGGTACAAAAATTCTGCAGGAGGAAGATGTAAGTTGTTTCTATAAATGGAATCAATTGGTCATACTTTTGTAACTTGGACTGTTTTGTTTCCCAAGACTCATGCTAAAATCGAGAATGGTGATTATGAAATAAATGCTATACCTTTATTGCCATGAACTTCGTTTCTAATTGCCACTTTCATCTGTTGAAATTCTTGTAACTTTATATCTTCTTCTGTTAGCAGATACCGTTTTCCTATCACAAGAACAAAAAAGAGGAAGTTGAGTTTTATGTTACAGTGTTTATTACTACTGAACCTTGCGTGTATGAATTATTGACTTTAATTTTCTGATGCCAGATCATTGTCAGTATGACACTGAAAAACAGACTGCAAACACTGCAGTTGCTCATGTCCCTAACAAAAGAACCCAAATACTATGTCACAGCTCTATGGAGTTTATGTGCACAAGGATGAAGAAGTGTTTACTTATTAAATGAGCACAAGAAAAACTAGAGGTAATACTTCTCTTCACCGAAGAAGAGGAGCATTCTGCTCAGGAATAAGATCTTTCCCCCCTTTTATACTTTTATTATGATTTTCTTGTCATGTCTTTATTCTCCACAATTCACTATTGGCACAGCTTGCTTTCCCCTTAAGTGCTGTCCTCAATGCTGTAGAATGTATCGTTTTGGAAGCTCCAAATGCAGTAAGAAGACACAAAATGCTTATTTTTTGAATTTATAAAAACACCAACCATATTACTTGGAATCCACTAACTCTCAGGATACCTAGTAAAGTTCTGTTGCAGTACAGACATCAAAAGTAAGACAGTTATTGAGTCTAGAATCTCAGAATTAACTTTGCTTGCTGACCTCAATTGTACTGTGTTGCAAGCTGCTTTAATAAAAGTGTCATGCAAAAGCTATTTGACAAGTTTTTGCTGTTACAAAATCAGATGTCCAATAGATTTTTATTTGCAACTAATGAGTTTGTAACAGAGAGTCACTGTAGTAGCTTACATTGTTACACCCTAATATTTTAAGGTTTTAGCTTCTTAAAGAATTATTTGAATCATGAAGGGACAAGAGCAAGCACGGAACTGCGTTAGGTTGTTTATTCTCATTCTGCATTTCCCTAGAAAAATGTAACAGGCCATGCAAAAAACCTCAATTGTTTTCTATGCAAGCAAAGTATGCTAATGACACACTTCATAAAACCTGAAGCAAAAAAACCATTAAAGGGAACATTCATAGATTAAACTTAATGGAAACTGTTCCAGTGGGTAAACAAACACAATTTATCTAGCATGAAATTGACCTGTATTATGCCACCATTTACTTCCCACAGACCTCAGCTGGTCTAATAACAAAAGCCCATCTCAGTCCTGGGCCTCTCCAGAGCTGGTAAAGGAATCATGCTAGTGCCTGGAGTGGGACCAGCACACTGCACATCACACTGAGTGGTCACAGAGAGTGTCAGCAGATAGTGTGGGGCAGCAGAATTTTACCTTTCTTGAATTCAATTTGATGAATTCCACTGCTTCCTTAGATTCATGTCTTACAGTGTTACAGAAACAAACCCATGCGAACTAAGCAAAGGGACCTCCAGTGAAAAAGGAGGGAGACGGATATGGTGGCTGGCATGTGCAGGTGGTGCAGGCTATCTCAGAGAACTGAACCAGCCAACCTGCTCTGCCTCACAACGCTCTACCAGGCTGGCACTGAAGACAGGTGGGTAGAACACCAGGCAGAACAGAGGGCTCCATGTCTCTGAGAGGTCTAACAGAGCTGTAACCTGAGTGAGGCCTGCACAGGCACAGCAGGCCAGGAGCCTGGCCAGGGCCTGCGCTGCAAAGCTCTCCAACATGTACCTGTTTTCCATGTGCTCCCATTTCCTTCTCTGGGAAGGGAGTACCTTTGGAGGTCTCCAAAGCCCAGAGTCTAGATCACACTGTCATCCTCCCAGAATAAATACACATTTATGAAACTGCACGTGTTTAGTTGTTCCTTTCCTTTTAAATGTCACATCCTTAGAGCAGCAAGTAGGAGATACACTCACTAATGCTGACCTCCAGGGTGACCTTACCGTGGCCTTTCAGTACCTGAAGGGGGTTACAGGAAAGCTAGAGAGAGACTTATATTAGGAAAAAATTTTTTACTCTGAGGGTGGTGAGGCATTGGAATAGGTTGCCCAGAAAAGCTGTAGATGCATGGACGGTGTGGGCAAGAATCCCGGGAAATGCTCGGGGCCAAGGTGAATGGGGTTCTTCGTAACCCGATCCCGTAGAAAGTGTCCTCACGGCAGGGGGTTGAAACCGGATGATCTCTAAGGTCTCCTCCAACCCAGGCCATTCTGGGATTCTTTCCGTGATCTTGTAGGGCCGCTGCCGACCCACCCCGCGGTGCACTGCCCACCCTCACTGCTCGGCCTCCCCACCAGGAACCCCTCGCTACACCACCACGCGCCGGGAAGGGCATCCACGCAGAAACTACAGCTCCCGTCAGGCACACGGCTGGCGGCGGCCGCCGGACCTGCTGGGTGTTGCAGTCCCGGTATTCCCCACACTGGCGGACAGCCTGGCTCCCCGGCTGGGCCCCCGCCGCCCGCTCTCGCCGCGCTGCCTGCGGTACCTGCGGGCGCACAGCCCCAGGCGCCCGGGGCGGGCGGGCGAACCGCCGAGCACCGCGCCGCCTCTCGTGCCGCCCGCCGGGACCCGCCTGCCAGCACCGCCGCCATCTCAGGGCCTGGCCCGTGGGGCGGGGCGCTCGCAGCCTGCCCACACCGCCCACCTGCTCCGGCCTCGGCACTATGGCTGCCCGCGTGCTCCAGCGCGCCGTGCTCTGCCAGAGGAGGGCTCTCGGCGCGGGCCCAGGTCGGTGCGCTTCTGGGGGGCGCGGCGGGGCGGGGGGCGCTGGTGGCTGTGATTGCCGCAGGCTGAGGTGGTAAGCGTGAGCAGGGACTGGATAATGCGCCGGGACTGACTTCACCTTCCCCCGTTTCTCTCTCTCTTCGTATATCTGTGTGAAATCAGAGGCAGCTCTGTGGACGTCTTACCGCTATTGCGCAGTGTAGGAGGGTGTTCGCAGTTTGTATTTTAGCGGATATTTCACCGTGCGGATATCATAGCTCGACATTTTAGGACCTGCCCCTGTGGGCCGGGGGAAGCCACGCGGAATTGTATGAGAGGCCGCCAAGCCCGCGACAGTGAGTGCTCTGCACAACCTGGTAACGCCGGTGACAGAAGCACCACCAGGCTGATGTCTTGGAAAAGCCAAAAATCTGACCCTTGGGGAGAACTGAGCTCAGTAACGTTTGCCCAGAGCGTGGTGGTGATGGGCGACTGTTGTGCTTTTTCACGAGTGGAGCTCGCTTTCCTCCGTTCTGCTTCCTGGATGCCCAGGGTACAACTGCGCCGCCCTTCCCTCTGGCGCTGAACCGGCTTGAAGAGCTCAGCCCTAACCTCGGCTTACTCGAGCATAGAGCTGTCAGGCGGACAGTTTTGCTATGGAAAATAATTCTTTAAAGCCTCATGCTTACTAGTGACATCCTTCGCGTGAATGAGCAAACAGTAATTTATCCTAAAGAAAACCCAACCAAAAAGTCCCCAGAAACCCACACCAGCGTCCCCAGGTCTTCTGTATGTCTCTTTTGTCAACATAATGAAAAATAGCAGTAAAAGAAACCATACCCAAACAAAAATACCGTGTTGTCTGTTTGGTAGAGTGATGTATGTATTCTCATATTCTGACTGTGGAATTCCACGTTCTGGGTCTTTTTGACAGGAGTTTGCAAAATTGTTCGGAGGTGGACTTGTGTTTATCATTGTGTGTCAGAAGGATGAGGAGAAAAATTGTTTCACAACCAAAACTTAACTTTTAGAGGCAGCTGATTTTCAGATAAAAGCTTTAAGGTAGTTGCTAAGACTTCCGTGTAGCATTGTAATGTTTATTTTTTAACATTACTTTCTGCAACCTTCGACATGTATTCCTATATCTTCCTTCAACAAATTTTATCCAGGTCTTCCTCATCCATTTTCAAGACCTCATCATCTGTGACTGATGTACAAATTCTTCCAGCTGAAGCATTTTCTGTTTTGTTTCCAAAGCTAATACAGCATCTTGAGCAGATTTCAGAGGTATTACAATGAATATTTGGAAAAAACTTCAAAAAATGTTTCCATTAATCTGTAGTTCACCAGAGATAGAAAAAATGGAGAATATTAAAAGGGAAGTATTTCCAGATGAACATCTAACTTTCTCTTCCAGTGAGACAAGTCTTTACAGGTGGAAAAAGTAATAATCCAGCAACAGCAGAAAAGCCTTTTGTACCTAGCCATGTTTTTTTTGCTACCATTTGATGAAAAAGAAACTGCTGATGTGCACAAAGAAACTGCTTTTATTTTTATTTGGATTTTTTTCTGCCTTTACAAATTTGTCCTTTTTTTAAATACAGAGTTCAGGTAATAATTATAATAATTAAATAGTAACTAAAATAATAATGATTACAACTAATCAGAATTGTTACAGTAGTAGTTGCTGAGTACTATGTTACAAAGACAGCTTAATGCATCACACACAGTAAATGGGATAGTAAAAATTAGTATCTAATAAAGTGTTAGTTTGTTTAGAGTTGTCTAGGCAAACTGGCTTACATAGTGTTGTCTTACTTCATTAGGTAGAAGATCTCTTCTTTCTGCGGCCTATGTGGATAGCTCAAAATGGGAAAAGAGACAAAAAGAGGAGCATAACCTGGGTGAGAAAAGTTTGTTTCTTGTCTCTACTTTGTCAAATGAGTTGCAACCTGAACTAATTTTTGACTAGCTCATCATCTGTAAATAAGAAAATGTGTGAGGCAATATGCTTCTAAGGTTCTATGCCAAAAAGTGTTCAACATGTTAAAAATGTGTCAAATGTATTGAAAGCTATAATGCAGAAACAAGTTAGAATTTGCCCATTTAATTAATATTTGGGTTCTTCAAGCTAGTTTTTTTCTTTCACAAAATCCAAAGTTTTATGGCTGTGTCCGAGTGTTGTCTTCATTGACATTGTTTTAATTGTACAGCAGCACGAAAGGAAAACTGTAAGTATTACAGGACAATCCTGTTTAAAGACATTTTTTAAAAGGAACATTTTCCTCAGAGTTTTGCTGTTTCTTGTTGAATTACAGAATTTTGGGGGGGGGGAATTGAACTAAAAGTTTTATTTTCAAGAAGCTGTAAGTTAAATTGTATCTGCATACGGAACTGAGATCTCTAGTGCGGGTTTTATAGCTAAATTATTTGACTGTGTTACATTTGAAATTACATTCCACCATCTTTTTGGTGATAATGTTAAATGGAAAGCATCTTGCAAAACATATTTCCATGCTAAAGATAAATATGCAGTATTTTGTACCATGGGTGTTTGGAGACTCCTTAATGCATAATCTTTGTCTTCTCTTTTTGTTTCCTGGGCCCCTGAACTATAGTTGTTACTTATAATGCAGATTATGAGGCTGAAAGAAGAACCAGCAGGTGAAATTCCAGGAGTTGTGTCAGGCAGGAAGCCAGACAAAATGATCAGAATGATGTTTTTTATGCCCTGATTTGTTTCTGGTATTTGCTGTGAGCATGTAGGTTGGGATTGCCAACAGGTACTATACCTGGATCACAAACAGCTGATGGGTCCTCTTGGCTATAGATCCTGTGGAGACTGTTAATACTGTGTTACCCTTTACTGTCAATAGGACTGCTCATGCAGTGTTTTTTGGGCTGGAGCCACAGATTTGTGCCCTGGAATGTATTTGAACCAGTCACCTCCAGGTGAAAATGGGCTCTTATTTTGATAAATGTCGTAGCCAATAGAAATCCACTGCCAAAGAAAACATTGTTGTGCAAGTGCTGGTCCAGTCCATGTTTGGCTTTTCCCAGGCCTGGCAAGATCATCTGTGACTGTTTGGCAGGCATAGTTCTTGCTGCTTCTCTGCTGATGATCTTGATCCAAAGCAGATGTCTGTTCCATGCTTTTCAAAGAACTGCTTTGCATTTTCATTTTGTGTTCACTAAAAAGAGAAAACAAGTTAACATGGTGTCAGCTTTAGTAGCATTTTCAAAGAGGAGACAGCCTTGCAGACGTCTGCTCTGTAGGTGTCAGTTGTATGGTTGCACATATAATCTTATGTATAGTAACTGCTGATTATAGCTAGAGTGAATTCCTTGTGCTGAGGAGATGCTCTTTTATTTGTCCTTCAGACATTGTTTTGGAACTGTTACTATGCAAAACTATGTTGTGAGGATACTTAAAAAGGAAAAAAAGTATTTCAGTATTTTCTTATTTAAAGTCAATTCCATTTCTCTGCTGCAATAATGTGTCTTCCCAGACTTGAACTCATTTACTGTGTCCATGTAAGATATACTTTATTGTCATCTCTGTAATCTCAGTTTAGCATTCCAGGCATGTATGGGTTTAGCAAACTTTGGTACTGAAAAATGTGTATTTTATGTACAAAATTTGTCCAAGAGGATAGGAATGGAAAATATGTTAATTTGGAATTTACAAGCTCTGTACTGGTAGGAAGATACCTGCATAGAAGTAATTTGGACTCCACTTACTAAAAATGAAGTATCAAGGAAACAGAAGGCACGGCTCGTCTTAAATTTTCCATTGCTTCAGTTGGTTCATCACTAAAAAGAATGAAAGTAAGTGACAGTAAAGCACCTTGATAAAAAAAAAAACCACAATTAGCAGAGTCTCAGGGGGTGGCAGAATCCAGGTGAGATAGGAAATGTCTTTTTTTGTTAGATTCAGAGTACCTAAAATGTCTCATCTCTAACACCAGGTGGCAGTGCTGCCTCCACAGACTTGAATTCCATTCAAAGCCTTTTACAGTACAGAGCTGTTGTTCTTTCCAGAAGCTGCTAGTTACATGGAAATAAAGAGAAATGTGAAACATACAAATTGGAAGGTAAAATTGTTGCCTCAGCCTTCCTTTCTATTTTAATTGGATCTTTAAAATGAATCTTTCCTTATATCAAACGGTTAGCCTATGAATTAGCTCTGCCCATCATTCCCAGGACAAGTAAATTTTGTACCACGTTTGGATCTTCTTTCCCTATCACAGGTTCATAGCACTATCCTGGATAAACCATTTCTGAGAATACAAGGATATAAACAGAATAAAAGTGACCTTATATAGTAATCAAATGCACCACTTACTGATAATGTACTGTTTTTTGATGTGGCTGTGTTCTGTGGATAGGTACACACTGTGAATCAAACTGATACTGTGGTGATTTCCTAGGCCACCAAGCTGGTGTTAGAAGTCATAACCACTGACTTGGAAGGTTATGGTCAGTATTATCTTAGTCATTGTCCTTAATCATGCTGTTGCAGGCTGCAAGACACTGAGTTTCTGTGAACAAATGAAAATAAAAGAAACCACGTGCACAGAAGTTTAATGACCTCAGCTCATACTTATGGTTTGTTTTGTTAGTTCATTTAAATCCGTTAGATTCTTCAATATACAGAAATATGTTTTTAGATAAGTTTAGTTTCGACGGAGTTAGTCTTGTAGAAATGTATTTTTAGGCATTGTGTATGAGAGACTATATTCACTAGTATCCTCTTTGGTAATTAGTCACATAAAAGCACTTGCAACATGTATCTGTTAAAATGTACATGGAATTTTGATCTGTCTGTTAAAATGTTGATTTGGTTTATATACCACTGTTAGTTTGCAAGTCTTGATTTTAGGTGCTTTTCAGAGAAAACAAACCAGTAAAGAATAACTTACTGCAAATTATTCTTATCTGGTAACTACCACAGAAACAGCAGCTTGTCTGGAAACAAAACTAAATTTCCCATTATCTTAAATTGTCTGCTATTCTTTTAGATTTAGTCAGCTTTCAGTTTATTGTGACTCTTACACGGGAGCTGATTGATAAGTGCTTCGTGTTGCTATAGTTCTGGTGGAGAGTTCCAGCGTTGTAGACAGCATTAAAGGTCAGTCATTAAAATTCTGTGTGTGAACTCTCCCAGAGGATGCTGGTGTGTAATGGCTAACACTCTTGTGATCTGGCATTCGTGCTATTGTATTCATTGGGTTTATATTCTACTTAAGTACTCAGTGTTTCCTGAAGTGGGCTGTTCATCTTCATGAGCACCTAGACAAAAGAAATGCCAAACTCAGGCCTTGAGTGTGGCCCAAAATAGTTATAGGAATCACCTAGTTTTCAGAGAGTGATGCATAACAACTATAGTTCTGGAAGAGATAAATGAACTCCCAATATGTGCAGTTGTCTGTCTTGGGTCCACATTGCTGCGTCCAGCAGATCAGATTTTAGAGCGAATACTTCTCTCTAGCTGTCTCAAAATGGTATTCCCACATAAATTTGTTTACCATTAAAGAAGTCGATCTGGTTTTTAGTGGTTATCTAGTGGTGTAGTATGGCCTTGGTGACCCACATCAGCTCAGCATCCTTTGCTGTCATCTTCGTTTTCCAGGAACAGCATAAAACTAAAACGCCAAATTAAATTAATTTAACTTCCAATTAAATTCATCAAATGCAGCAATGGCTGGCTACCTGTTCAGCAGTCAGAAGCTTCAAGTTCTGTATGGTTGAATTAATTTTGTTATATGACTATTGAAGAAAATACTATAAAGTTAATAAAATACTGGCACAGGGCTCAGTTTGATTAACAGGATTTCTTTGTATTGTTGTTTATGACTGAAGAGTTTGTCAGTATGCTCCTGCTTGTTTCTGTTTCTCATTGTTTTACTGTAAAATAAAAATCCATGCCAAAAGCACTGTCCAGCATATGCTAGGCTTGAAACCAAGTGGGAATTTTGAGGACATCTGGTCTGTTGTTTCTTTTAGATGAGTTGTAGTAGTTATACTGATTTCATCCAGCATGTTACAGGGTAGTTTGCTTTTCCCTGCATTTTACATTTTTCTAATTGAGAACCTTTTCACATATTATTTTCTCTTAAAGTATTTAACAATAATTGAAATAATTGTTTTCATACAACTTCAAAATGAGATGTTAACAAGGAACCAGATTTGATTTCATGGACACAGGTTCTATTCAAGGTTATATGGTGGCTCTGCAGATTTTCCTATAATACCAGTTGATTAAACATATTCTTTTTCTGCTTTCTGCAGCTGACTTGGCTCACTTAATGGACAGAACCTACGAAAGAAAGCTGCCTGTCAGTTCTTTGACAATAGCCCGGGTAAGAAAATAAATCCTGATCGTAACGTGATAGAAATGAAAGTGGAATGCTTGTGTAATCAAGTGAGCTGAGAAGGGACAAATGATATCACCTCAGCTGGGAGTTTGGGAATCATAAATATCTTGCTGTATAGATATAGGTTGCTGTATAAAGCTGTTTTATTGTTACTTTGTACTGATGAGTTAGTACCTGGACCATAGGGTCCTCAGAATATTTCTTTTTCCTGTAAAATCAGGCCTCACTATTAGTGGGTTGTGTTTTTCCCTAATATATATTCCCTGCCTCCTTGTGGTTTCTGTCTTTCTGAGAGCTTAAATGCCTCCTCAGGAACTGGATAAGAATCCAGACTGCTAAGGGAATGCAGTGCATTCACGCTCTGTACTGGCTGTCTTCCTCCACTTCCAGACTTCTGTCAGTGAGGCAGAGGTGGACATATTTTGCTTCTGTAGTTTTCTTTCCTTGCAGCAGACTGAAGCAGAACAATTGCTGACATGGGTTAAGCAAAGCCGTTATTTTTACTTGAATTAGTAACCACTTCCATCCTCTGCATGGGTTAAAGAGGGGGAGTAAAAGCAAAGATGTGAGATGTGCTTTGAAGTTATCTGTGTTAGAGAGTGTTTGTACTGAAGAGAGAGAATAAATATGTCACTTGTTTAAAAAAAGAAAAACAAACAAATTTCAGGATCATTTGCACCACTGACTAAGGAGTCACAGAACCATTTGTTCAGTTAGAAGAACAAGCATTTTTACAGATCAAGCATTCTTGATCATTGCTTCTGAGACAGGGTCCATGAGGTAAATGAGCGTTCCTCTCCTTTTTATTAATTAGCTTTATTCCTTTCCTGCATTCTCCTGCTTTGGGGTGATCTTCTTCGTGGAGAAATGGCATTTTCAGATTGTCAAACAGCCCCAGTTTCCAATACCTGGAGCTCACAGCAGATACTTATTTTCTAAAAGGTAGATAAAGGACCTAGGCATGCTATTGCCACAATCAAAAGATGAGACCTGTATATGTATAGCATGCAAGAAGAATTAAGAAATGGGAGATCAAATACCAGTCAACTGAAATTTAATATTTTTAGCTTAGGATAAAGAGAAGTAATGACCTTGAGAACATCTTTATGTTTTCTCAGCTAAAGGTATTATATTGGGAAGACTTTAGTTTTTCAGCATCTTTTTGTTAGTACAAGGTAAAGGAAAACAGGATACACTTACCATAAGACAAACTCTGGTTGAAAACTTGGCTTGTATTTAGTTGATAGCACTGGCAATTTTCTAAGATTGCCTGAAGAAGACAGAGTTGTAAATGAGAGGAAAAGTGTGCTTTGTAGCATGGGAGTTGATTTTTTTCTTACCAGTGTTTATGTGTATAGTGAAATACAAAATGCTTTTGTCTTGTTCTTCAGAATATATTGTAAGAATAAGCACAACAGTCAAACTTTGGAGAAAAAGATATTTTTTTAAAGAAAGTGAAGGTGTGTCAAGGCTCACTCAAAACTGTAGCAAAAAAACTAAGGACTTGAATGTATTCTTAAATTAAAGGATGTGATTAAGAGAAAACAATTCAGAAGAACACAAAAAATACAGGGTACTGAACTCTAGAGACTTAATCCTCAGATGGCCTGCAAGGTGCATAAAATTTCTCAGAGGTGAGGAAGGGAGTTGTCTCAGTTTAAAAAGATTTGACTTCTAGCAGTCTAGAAGAAACCAGTTAGGAGCAAGCAAAAATGTGAAGAATTCAAGTACTCTCAGACAACTAAATATGTTGACAAATGTGTTTTGTTATTGCATTTTCTTCTAATGTGCTTTGTGAGTGCTCCCTCCTGAAGCTTTTTTTGTTATGTTTTAATCAGTTTGTTGACAACATTTCTTCACGAGAAGAAGTGGATCAAGCTGAATACTACCTTTACAAGTAAGCATCTTTTCTCCCCAGCATGAGCTTTGAATCATACAAGTAAATACCATGGAGTCTTGTCCTTTGAAGAAGACTGACCCTTTCCAGCTTACCGGCTTTGATTTCTCTCTAGCAAAGTATGCTCATCTACTTGTCTTCCAACTCACACCTAGGGGCTTTCTTGGTAACTTCCCTGCTGTTATGGCTGTCCTCCTCTGGACCTCTGGCATTAATTCCTGTCAAGCATGTTAGTCTGACCTACTGAACAGCCAACACAACCTCCAGCTGTGGTTTACATTGGAAATTATAAGAATTATGTTTGTTCACAGCTTTTCCTTCTGATACTTTTTTATTACTAAGTCATAATTATCTGAATTTGCTATATGCGTATTTGTGTGTATGTATATAGGACTCAGTAAGCTTGTTTTCTTGAAACAAGCAAAAATGAGAATGGACATCCTGTGGTAATGATCAGGTCAAGGTTGAATGAACTGTAGTTACTACTTTCATATTTCCCAGACAAGCTGTGTGGTTCACCTTATGCATGGGTTGTTAGGGGTTTCTGCAACTGTTCTTGTGTTAAGTGTACAGAGCACCTTTTCTGCTAGTGTCAGGTTGAATGCTTGCTTGCTTTAAGTCAATACCTCTCAATACTGACTTAAAGAGGGCAGAAATTTTTTCTGATTACTAAAATGTGACGGTTTGGACTTGACTCCCTGCCAAATGCCCGAAAGTTACGACAGCAGCCCCCCTTCCCCCCTCCTTTCTTCCCTTAAGTTAAAGGAAAAAAAAAGAAACTATAAAAATTAAAGAATCCAAAGTCAAACTGCTTATATAAAAATATATCTATATTTATGTAAATTTCAATTATGTACAGTTAAGATGCTATATACACAGTAAAAGGGGGTCCACCCCCCAAAGGGATAGGGAAAGGGGAAAAAAGGGGACAAAAGGGAACAAAAGGGACACCGAACAGGTATACTAGATCAAACTATACTAATAACTAACAAAACAGATCTCACCACGTCCCTTAGAACAGCAGGATCGGCAGTCACAGCCAGCACTCTCCAAACCTCCACGTGGTAGGACGGTGGACTCTGCAGGTCTCAGCCTTAGATAAGCGAGACCAACACAGGGACCCACTGTTCCCAAACCTCGCCGGAAGAGAAGAGAGCGAGGTCTCTAATCTCCGACTTATTTATACTCTGGTTTACGTAAAAATTGTATGGAATACTGGGTACTTGGCTACTTCCTTGGTTACAAACTGGTCACCAAGGAAGGCCTAGACTAAAACCATCACATAAAACCAAAGTAGTTCCTTTATGGATGGTTGCACATTGAAAACTAAGTCTTCCAATGGAGCAAGTTACTCATACTGTCAAAATGTGTCAGAAAGCATCCTTATAAATTATGTTAGGCTGTTATTTGTAAATAACAATGATTTTTATTTTAGTTAAGGTGTTTGCTGGATGGCTGTTTTAATTAAATGTTTAGTTTTAAATACATGATTGCATTAGAATTCAGATCTCCATGATTTGCTGGTACTAATGGGTCATTATCTGAACCTCAGAGTTTCAAGGTGGAAACAAAAGAAACTAGTTTGCTAATAGTAGCAGTATTCTATAGTGAAAAAATAAAAGTACAAAGAAGAATCTCTCACAGGGGGGAAGTTACTGGAGCTTTCACTCTTTTCCTTAGTCCTGTCAGAATCTGTAGTCAGAAATTAATTTTCCATCCTGCAACGGCAGAGATGAAAACAGGACAAGATGAAGCCAGTTTAATGCAAGCCCTCTGATACCTTTTAGTAACATTCTTGAAGATTGAAATGTATTTTGTGCCACACGTACTTAAGTCCTCTCTGATTGATTCGGGACCTCTATGATCAGGGATGCCAAGAGACCTTTGATTTCCCTGACATGCAGAGAAAAGTGTGGTAGTTTAATTAGTAAGTCTCAAAATGGTACAGATAAAATCCAGATAGTGAGGCATCCATATATAATGCATCTTTCAGGTTCTTTCTTCTAACATATTCTTTCTTTTTGAAAAAAGTTCAAGGAGAGTGACAAAAAAATAGAAGCACAGAAAATGGTCCATAGTAAGAGGTAGAGAATGGTATGGGAATCTCGTAGTATGTAAATATCCTTTGCACTTTTCGTCTGTGCCTGGCTAATACATCAGTTTAAAATACAAGGTTTCTATCTTAAGAACACATTCTTGTGTAGAGAGTTGCAGTTCAAAAATAATTACAGTTATTTACCATTTCCCTAAGAAATAATTCTCCCATGGCTGATGAGAGTATATTTATGTGCACATCTAATATGGTCATTTGAATCTCTGGGGAGAGAATAGAGAAGTACTGATGCGTCACATGGCTTGTCAGACATGCTTTAGCTGGAATTTTTCTTTGTGTCTCTGCAATGCTGCCTTGTTTTGGTGTTGCAAAATGGTTAGTCTTTTGGTGATGATAGCAACATTTTTCAAAGAGACTTCATTCCAGCATTGATCCATGAAACTGTTCTCAAAAATGCACGTATATACAGGTAGTGAAACAGCGTAGAGAGGTCTGTAATTCAAAGTAAAATGTGAAAATCCTCATTATAACCACAGCTTTTCTTTCAAATAAAAGTTAGTGTTCTAGCTTCAGGATATGTAGTTGGTATTTGCAAGACCCCTTTAATTGGTCTTTGCACTTAGAATGGAGTTCAAATGAAGGACATGTTTATAAAGATAGGTCTTTGCCGCTGGGAGCATGTTTGACACAAAAAAGTCCTGAAGAAGTGGCCACACCAGGAGACATAAATGAAGGGGATAGAGAGGGAGAGTTAAGAAGCAGAGAAGCTTTGTCAATCTCTTTTTATACCTTCATGAGAAACAGTTCCAGCCACAATTTTTGTACATTATAGAAGGACAATAAGCTTTTAAGAAAGAGAAAGGCAGTGTAAAATAAAGACTGTTTTTGTGTCTTCTGAGGTGTACAAATCCATTGCAAACAAATGTCAGGTACATGGTCTGGTAAGTTGACAGTATGTGCATTTTCCTGAACATAAATAAGAGAGTGCTCCCAGAGCCCTGTGTTTTTTCCCCTTAACTGCTTGTAGAGTATAAAGAAGGGATTTTGGTATCTCTCCCCAATGTTTGGTGCCTCTGGCAACCTGAGGTGAAGGGTAGTCAGTTCCAAGGCCCCTACAAAGTTGGAAGATGTTCCTGGTACAAAAGACAAAATCCCTGTGGAAAGAATCAGGGGAAAGTAGTGGCATTTCCATGCTTGCTATCTGGTGGTTTTCTGAAGATGGGAGTGACAGAACTTGTAATCATTAGCTTTGTAGACTGGAGAGTTTCCTTCTATTATATCAGACAGAACCTGGTTTCAAAAAGTAGTATTCTGGAGCATTACCATATTGCATTTAGGGTTCTGAAATACAATATGCGTATTATATTTAGACGTGTTTCAATTTTCTATCCTTTTAAAGCAGTGGATCTCCAGCCATACTGTCTCCACAGAGGATCTTGAGCTCTCAAGAATAGCTGTGTGGAAACTGCTATGCCACATTGTGAAACATGTCAGTAAGATGGTAAAGGCCAGTTTGAGGCATGACGTCATCTGCTTTCAGTGCTCCTCTTTTTGTTCTCTTCTGAATACCTTCCCCCCTTGTTAACTGTCAGACTTAAAAAAATCCTTTCATCTCCTAGGATCCCAGCAAAAATTCTAATCAGAATGCAGAGCCCTTTCAGCCAGATCAAAGATCTGCAGTTCGCCTTACTTTGTCCTGTCTCACTGAGATGTCACTATTTCACACATCAGGGTGTTTTTCATATGATGGAAACATTAGCATAATGGAAAGAGGTTTTGTGGTGAGGTAACTGCTGATTCTGTATGTGGGTTTTATGCCAACAAAGATTTTCAATAGGTGTGAAAAGCAATTGGTGAAGTTTTATGTTGAGATTCTTCAGGAGAGTTTTTAATTGCATTAAACCCATGACCTACTTTAGAAAAAAGTATACACACTATCTTGCAGAATGTGTTTGTGTTTGCATGTGCTCTGCAAATTCTTACCCAATCTACCCAGATCTTTTTATTACCTTTCTGTGATTGATAATTGCTTTTTTGAAAGTGGAGTTTTTTCTGCAGACTTGGAAATTTATTAGCTGGACTCCATACTTGATTATAATCAAAAAATGTGACAATAGTAGACTATTAGAAGTTATTCTTAGATATAAAATATATATTTATAGGTATTGTTTAGGTTGTATGGTAGAAGTTACAACTTTGAAGCCTGATTTCAGCCTTTAAATCAATTTGGGACTAAGATTGTCTCTCTATATATGAAACTGTGCTTATTCATTAAAATACCAGTGTATCAGTAGTTATTACAATACTACATGACATGGAAAATAAGTTTCACCTGCACTGTCTATGTTTGCATGTCTGTTCTTTGGGTGCAGAAGTTGCAGTTTCTGGTACTTTCATGCCAGTCAATCAGTTCAGTGTCTGAAAACGTTATTCCTGTAAAGTATTTTTTATAATAAATTATCATAATGGACCAAAAAAAATGTATTTCTGAATTACACTTTACATTACATTCATTCCCTCTAGTATGCTATTTAGTTTCTGTATATAAATCTTAATACCATTAACCTGTGTTCCAGCACAAATATAAAAAGGAGAAGAGACATAGACACAGTTCTGTAACATATTTGATTCTTCCTTTGAGGTGTTTTCATTGTCCTAAAGCTGTAGCCAAAATAGACTTTGTTAGTTGATCAAGTCTTTGTTTTAAGTCCCTCCACAGAAATATGTGTCTTAAAAAAGAAGTATAAAAATAAATGAGTCAGAAGTAACTGCCTACTATTCAAGTTATGCTGCAGTTATATTTTGAAATGATACTGAGAAGCGGTGGAAGAGAAGAATACACTTCCATAGGCAGAATGATGTGTTTTACCAGTCTGGACACCTGCCTCAGCTGAGCAATCTAAAATAAGTCCAATTGCAAAAGATTTGGGCTGCTCTTTGGCAGTTT